CCACCCACTAAAACACGAATACATTTCATTCAAAAAGTCAGGGGAAAGTGGCCAGGAAATGCCTCAGATGCAAAAATGAAAATTGATTTAAAACGTTATTTTACTTTGGAAAATACATCTCGATTACAAATGGATCTATTGCAAAATTTCATACAAAATGGGACTCCTTAGAAGTACTGTGTCAAAATAAACGCTGTATTCAAAATGTGTTATAGGTCAAGATATTTTGCGACATTGCCTTGGTTTCTTAAGTAGTTTTTGTAAAGCTGAGAAGATGCTGTGAGGTTGAATAAAATATTTCCTCCAGGGGAAAAAAAAAAAAAAAAAAAAAACGAGCGTCACATGACATTGGGTTTCGCTCTGTCATGATCGTCGATGAACCAACTCCAAACAGTAACCATTGTTACGGTTACCGTGGAAACAATGGGACCACAGCAAGCGATATTCCAAACATAAGGCTCATCGTGCCAGGGAGTGGCGCTCTGCCCGGTTTGAACGCAGATATCAAAATGAAGACCTACTGGCTGGATATGAAAAACCCGCGTAAAATGTGGGTCTTCGGTTGGACTTTGGGGCTTTTTAGTTCCCTCTGTATTCTACCTGTACGAGGGAACACGTGTAGTGTCATGGTCAAGGCTGCACCCGGTGATGATCTGATCGCACTTCGTAACAAGGCTTTCGCGTCTTTCAGAACCCAGTGCCGTGGTAAACAAGGCAAGTAATTGTACTCCATAAATTACTGTTAAAAGTGCAACTATAGCATGTTGTCTTACGGGGAAATCTCAGAAATGTGGTGGTTGTGCCAAATTACAAGCAAGAGTTTTTTTTTTTACAATTAATATAAGTCATTTGATTGCAAAACCACATTTCTAAAATTATCTGTTTGCTAGCGTTTTGCGATTCGTATGCAAATTAGGAGACCACGTTACTATAGTGTTAGTCTCTTTATTATATTTAAAATCGAGCTTTATCTTATCGAATAGACAGGGACCGTGCAATGGAGTTGTTCCCATGATTCGAATTTCATGAAATGCAATTTCTTTCCGAACTTCAGGCTTTTCCGCCATCAACAGAAAACCCATTGTTTTTCTCATTTTTTTTTGTTGTTGGCTTTTCCGCTTATTTGCGGAAAAGTCTGTCTTTTTGTTCCTCGTCATTAATGATGCGTCAAGGAGGGCGCTGTAAGATCTCCCGGCCTAACATCGTATAGGAGTGCAACCAATCAAATAAATTCCCATAGTCAACAGTGTAAATGCCCATACTTCAAATTTCTTTAAAAAATACTCAAAACTCTCACGTGTTCAGACTGCACAGAAAATGATAATCAACATGTCATCTTTCATTTTATTTTCAATTTTTGTTGGGTTGACAGATGACTTTTCGAGACATTCCCACGCAAAGAAGACGACCCCTAAAATTAGTGATGTTTCCCAAAGTGGAAAAGTAGCCATCTTGAAAAGGGATCCCTCCACAACATGGCTAAATAGTGCCACTTTGGGGGCCGATTGCATCCAGAATGCTCTGAATTACAAGCCCCAAGTCCGGGCCAGAGGTGTATTGCCATATCTCTTCAATCTCCCGATTCCATGGCTCTCAGAACTCTCTAATATAGAAGAATTTGAGTGTATAACTTGTATTCATGAGCTCGGCGGACGGATATTTGGCCTATTTACTGGTTTGCACTAATAGGCCTACTAAAAGAAAACCGGATCCGGCATAATATCCACTAGACATTTTTCTACGCATTTTCAGCTGATTCATTGCGTGGCGACATCAACGCGGTTCTGATTTTTCACATTGCAGTGCGCCGATAACCATCTTTTCACGTTACATTGTGTGATCTCTATCACAGTTTTTAAGCAAACATTTCATATTATAATTTTAAACATCACTACATTGTGACTAGTCTAATACGGAAAAGTGTGTTGTTAAGGTAAGGGACGTGTAACTTCACATTTGCAATTTTTAAAAAGCTATTTTAGTATACCCACCTTTTCAGATGCGTATACAAGGCCATGCTTATCAAATTCTTGATTTTCATAATATATATGGGTCTACTGTGCGTTTTATGCAATATCATACTTTGTCATACCTCTGTCTTTATACTGTATTTTCATTGGCCCAGGACGATCACCTGACCGGGCGATAAATATGCATGGCACACTCCCGTTGTATATCACATTGTGATATCACATGCATGTAGACTAGTCCCCGCCCCACAGTCCAAACCATTTATGCGCGGACCGCGTTTAAACCAGACTATACTTGTACTCACTGGTACCCCGCAGTACTTTCACGTTCCACAATATAATGTATAGCAGTGAGGGAGCAGTGCATTTGCAGACGATATTTACTTTAATTTGGCGGCCAGCGACGAGCCGCATTAAGATTATGTTTACGTTTTGACTGACTCTAGTAACGGTGGCTAGGCCTTCAGAACTTCGGAAATGCAGAGCTGACACAGTTAGTTTTTTCGTATACGATCCTCATCAGCCTCAACATGTCAGCTGAGCCCGGAGGCACAGATTCTCCGCCCCCAAAAAAGGTTTTTGAGCCGCTCCAAACAACAAATAAAAGATTTAGCTTTTGAACAAGACTCATCGAACACCAAACGTTGTACCGACTACGCAGTCCGCTTTGTACGAGAATTGTTATTAAATGGCTGTCAAGTTGTCATAAAAAAAAATAGCCATCGCCGTTTGATATAAATTTCTTTCTTTTAAGGGTCTGCATCGTTGTCACTACAAACCAGGTTTTTATTCATTGTCCCTAATATGCCAGGGGATAAGATTGTTTTTCATTAAACTTGTAAAACCTTTACCCAAATTTCCCTGAACTTAAGCTTGTTTTAATGCCCCTACATCTATATATGTTGAAAGAAAATTTTTCAAAGATTCCTTCAGTTTGCCACCCTTAATTTCCCTTAGAAAAACAAGTAAAACATATCATCCAGACAGAGGTATGACAAAACAGTTGTTGACTGATGTGATGTGGGATATGACGTTTTGAACACCCTCGAGGACACATGGCACCCTCGGCTTCGCCTCGGGCGCTATGCGTCCCTCGGGTGTTCAAAACGTCATATCCCACATCACATCAGTCAACAACTGTTAAATGTCTGGGTATATTGTGTACTGTGTATTGTGCAATGTCTTATTCCTGTGGTTGTGTGATCTTTTAAGGTCATTTTATCAATTTTATCAATCAATCTCATCCCTGCGGCCGATTTCATGTCTCGGGCCACCATTTATTGTGTACGTTGCGCAACATTTCAGTCATGACAATTTTAAGAAAGTTTCTTAGTGCGTAAGTTTGTGGATTGCTCAACAAATTATGGCATGACGCAGTTATTTGAGGTGGCTTACCTTGTGCTATTTTACTTGTGACAGAATGTTTAAGTTCGGGAGCTGAGCTAGGGGGAGTGGGGACGTACGCCCGCCCCCCCCCCTTATTCTTGAAAAAAAAGAAGATGTTCTCCCCACGTACAAACGTGCATATCGGCCCGATACGCAGGAATAACACACTATAATCGTTACAAAAGCCATTATTTCATCTTGACATGCTAAATCTTGACGAAAAAGCCTATACATCTGACGCTTTTGTGAGCAAAATGCACCGAAGCCATGCCGCTGTACGAGTATACGACAAAACTGAGCGTCAATCATACTAGCGCTTTGTAATTTTCCATTCAGCGTTACAATCGATACTAGACTACGGTGGTTCCAATTTAGACCAGTCCACAGAATTCTTGGCCTCAATTCCTTCTAGGCGTTATAAGGGTTTTCGACTGTACATGATGTATTCCCAACTTTGATTATTACATGTAGCCTACAGGTTACCTTTTTTAAAGTTTTTTTTACTATTATTTACTATCATTTATTTATGTATTTAGTCTTAAGTAGCCCACTTTATTTCTGTACTATAACAAATCATTCTACTATGTTTACATGTTTACTTATTTACTGTATACATAGCAATTTAAGACACAATGCAGTGTTTTGTTTTATTCGAAGTTTTATTCATTAAGGACTTGTTTTGTTAATATTGTTTTATATTCTTTAAGGTTTTACAAAGTTGTTATTTATTAGCAAAGCAAAAACAATCTTAAAAAAACAAGAGCTGTTTCAGGTGACTTGCCGAAACAACTAAAAAGGAATCAGAAAAACAAAACAAAGCCAAGAATCAGAAGAAAGGCTTCCCTGGACGTTGTCCGAAAAAAAGCCAAGCAAATCTTCATTCACAGACGGACGATTGAAACGTGATGGTCACCACTTAAAACACTTCGTCTGATTGAGCAGCAGCGTCAAAGTACAAATCAAAATCTACAAACATACAAAGTTCCATTACACATTTCCAAGATCTTTAATAATAATAATAATATTGGACATTTATAAAGCGCAAAAATATCCACCGTGAGGTGCTCAAGGCGCTATACATAATTGTATACAAGCAAAACATCAGCAAAAATATGAATTAATAAACAAACTAAACAAATTAAGGTAAGCAACGGAAGAGCAGAAAAACAAAATAAACATAAATGCAAGGGATTAATTGAAAGACGACATGAGGTGAGTTTTGAGAGCTGTTTTGAAGGACCGGATGGTTTCTGAGGTTTTGATGTGAATAGGTAGCCGATTCCACAGACGAGGTGCTGCTACAGAGAAAGACCTGTCTCCCCAAATACGGTGTGATTTTGGCTCATGTAGTAGATGCTTGTTACTGGATCGGAGAGTGCGGGAGGGTCTGTAAGTGGAAAGCATGTCCATGATGTATGAGGGGGCTTTGCCATTTAGAGCTTTGTAAACCAACAACATCATTTTATAGATTATCCGAGAGGAGACTGGTAACCAGTGTAGATTTAGAAGGTGGAATCCGCGCCCGGCGATGTCCATAACAAAAAATGAATGCGATTGATTTAATGAGCCCCGCCCAACCCTTATCGATTGTTTTCCACTACTCCGACAGATGTTTTGGAGTGCTCTGAGGAGGGACCCTTAGGAATGGAAGATGGTCGCATCCCAGATGCAAGCATCACAGCGTCGTCAGTGTACAACAACGACCAAGGCCTTTTCGGACCCACCAGGGCTCGGCTTGGAAGTAACTTTCATTTTCGTTCAACAAGTTCATGGGATGAAGAATAAGACAACTCAAACAAAAATAATTTGTCAAAGGTTACAAAAAATGCCAACAGTTTAAGACTCTCCTCGGAGGGATGGTGCTTCAAAGTAAAGTCTGTTTTTCCTTAAATTTATAATTACTCATTTTGTGGTCAGAAACTTTCACAGGTTTCACAAGTCGCTCATGTAAACGTAGCATTGGCTGAATGTCATAGAGGTGCTAAGAACAACACATAAAACACATAACGCGGGAAGGGTTACCAGCAAAAAGTATGTGTATTGCTTGTGACTGTTTTCATGCCGATTTTTGATAAGCATTTGAAATTGGCCATGCGATACTTTCTCCTTATTATCCGCTTACTTTGCAAGTGTGGCCTCTCCCTGGTGTAGCGCTTGTGGCAGGTTGTCAGTTTTGCTTAGCACATAAATTTGCTAAGCAGTGTTTTATGCTCAGCATGTTTGATTATCTGCTTACTCTGCAGATCCGGACCATGACGGAGCCTGGTGTAGGGCTGGTACTGTTGACACCGATCCATGGATCCAAGTCGACCTCGGTTCCAATGCAACCATTACTGGCGTTATCACCCAGCTGCCCCCGGGTCGTTACTATTGGGTGGAAGAGTTCAAAGTGGCCTTCAGCGACGATGGCCAAGAATGGACCGACGTCACTGATTGTGGATCAAGTACACCGATGAAGGTATAGTCCAATCGCATTGTTCAATTTGCCCTTTCGTCGATGTTATTTCATAAACACTGTATACTCAGTGTTGTCCGAGGGTTTGTGAGATAAAATTCACAATCTAACTCAGTCGGTTGGGACTCGAACCCACGACCTCCTGTTTACGGGTGCTGATGTTGGATGGAAATTAATCTAGATCCGATTCGAACCAGCCACAGACCCAGGCAAGTCGAGTGGTAAGAACCCACGACATCCTGTTTACGAGTGCAGATGTTGGATGAAAAGTAGATCAACATGGGCGTCGCCCGGATTTTCCCGGGGGGGGGGGGGCAAAGCACATTTCCCCCAAAATTGCTTAACTTTTTCAACATATTCTCATTGATCATTTTTCCGAGCGTGGGCAGGGGAACATTTGCCATAATCCCCCCCCCCCTCCCCTTTCCCACGTCTATGTAGATCAACTTCGAACCAGCCAGCAAACCCAGGCAAGCTTGCTGGTCGATTAAAACATTCGCTCTTTTAAATATAAGTAAAGGAAAGGGAAAAGGCCAATTTGGGATTTGTTGTCATATCGACTTATTAAACGTTACCTTCCAAACCTTTTCAGGCAAAGCTGTCTTGTGTATAGTGTTTTAAATACTTTAAATCCCTCATTATTTTACTGATTCTACAAAGCCCTGAAAACTAAGATTATGCATGGCGTAGGACGAGGGCTCCCTCTATTGCCTCTGCTGAAACCGTTTGACTGCAAGGGAAAACTCATCCCCATTAACCTTTCAACGCTGGTTTAAAATCGTGTTCATATTGTTGATTCCACAGTTCCCTGCAAACTTTGACGAAAACAACCACGTGACCACCACTTTCCCGAAGGCTTTCCAGGCCAGGTTCCTGCGTATCCTGCCTACTCAGTGGAAGGCAGCATGCTGTATGCGCTTTGAAGTCCTCGGCTGCACAATAAATGAGTAAATTCCATCGATGCTAACTTGGAAAACCTAGCTCTAGTGCTCGCTGGAAATTCGACAACTTGGAGCATGGGGATATATCAGTCATAGATGCGTGATGGTGTTAAATTTAAGAATGCTTCAATCAAAACATAAAGACACATAGGATCATTTGCAGTTACCCAGAATCGTACCCAGCGATTGAACAAGAAATCCTGGCTCAAAGTGAAGATGGGTCTGGTAACCAATTCCCTGCCTGAAATGGCATCATTCGGAAGAAACGATCTTTGAAGGTGATTTTAGAAATTTGCCTACGTGCAGGGACAGCCTTGTACGTGCGTTAGCAACGGAATTTATTTACGAGACGCCAACAAATTGCGCATTTGTTCTCAAAATGTTTAGTATCCACTGGGCTGCAAATTCAACAAGTTAGTTATAATGCACCCGTCACATGATTTTGAGCGACTTTGTCGTTAAACTGAAGAAAAAACATGCTCAAAGACCAAAGAGACATTTAATTGCACTTAAAGTGCTCCTCATGAGTCCCCAATACAATACGGACGTTCTGAAGTAAGTGGACGTAAGTGTTATTTCTACAATATGGCGGCCATCTTGGCGGCCATCTTGGCGGCCATCTTGGATTTTGACGAAAATCGGTTATTTGACGTAACGTTTGAACAAGGCATCATAGGAAGGAAAACGAACACGTTTTTTTTTTTGGGGGGGGGGTAATTTGGGTGTACGGAATCGATTGAAAAAAAAATATTTTCATAATTTGAAAGAGACATTTGCACTTGAAGTGCTCCTCCTGAGTCCCCAATATGGACGTTCGGAGTTGTTCCCACCTCCTACATTGTGAGTGGGGGCTATGATGGAGGGGCCCGTCACCAGTCTAAAGGTTAACCCATGTTTCAGACATAGACTCCTCCACAGTTTTAAATTGTCAATTTTTCCAATGAGCTTTAGAGGAAGGAGTTTCCCATGCTTCATTGATGCCGGCAAAAGAAATCGGTTGGATGAAAACTGATGGTTAACAGGAACTTAAGTTTTTTTAAAGATTTGTTTAGATTCTTAGTGGCTTAATCAGTAATAATATACAATGGTGGCAAGATTACCATATGCGAAGTTTACTAATTTTCCTCTGTATTGACTTACAAGCCCCCAGATAGCAATTTCATGTCATCAAAGTCAATTTGAGCAGTGAGAATATACAAGCATTTTCTTAGAAAACACTTGAGTGAACTTCGTATATGGAAATCTTTCCTACAATGACATGTATTTACATTTTGTAGTATCCTTTTTTCATGAAGCAAATTGTGAAAAAGGATAGTTTTGGAAGACCAGCTAGAATATGGATTTTTTAAAAATCAAAATACAATGCTCTTAAAGGGAGACTTATGGCCGGTCGCGCTCTTTTGGTCTCTAAAAACGCACTTCTCACGAAATAATAATCATTGGAAAGATTAATGACAAGTGCAATATAAACGTGCACACAACTATACCTTAAAAAGTGACGGTTTCATTTTCGAGTTGAAATTCAATGGCTTCTTTTAACTGCCCGAAATATTTAAGGGCAAGGCAAAAAACACTGACGCGCCACATGTAAACAAACGGGCGTTTTCAACATTTTCTCTGGAATGTCAGACATTTTGCACAGGACTTTCTGGGACCCAGAAAGCACTAAGTATTGACAATCTCCGGATGGAAGTGCACCGGAATTGTGAATAATTACTTCCAGCGTCACAAACTATTATCCTTGTTGAAGTATGGCGAACACAATAAGAAGACACCATTTGAAGTGGATGAATTTGAGTCAATATAAAAAATTAATCCACTCAAAATCGCTTAGTAAACCCATGAAATGAATATTATTCAGCATGCACTGCAAATAATTTTGTTCTACAAGACTTTAAAATTCCAATAAATATTGCATGAAACTTTCACATGTCCAATATAGCTTACTTTATGATATTAGCAAATCTGGTATGCAACATGTTCTTAGTTTAGAAATGTCATTATTATATAGATTATTACTCTTTTTTAACTGTCCTTTTTCAACATGGTTAATCATGTAGTTCAGTATCTGGTGGAAAAAGATTTGGAAAAAAATATCAACTGGAAAACAGTTTTTATCAAATTGTTTTCTTTTGCTTCTTTTCTTTCTTTTTTTTTCTTTAGATTTTGAAGTGGTTAAAGGTTATCGACACAATTAGCAAATATTCAAACATTGAACTTTCAAAACATAATGAAATATCCGACTTTATTGTTAGGAAATAATAAGATTTAGTCTAGTCGGAAGATAGGGCTCCCATGCACCCCCTGGATATATATTTTAACCTACTTTTTTGCAATTTTTAGAGTGCCTAGTGAACGAATGTTGATGTTCCTAAGATCAAATATTGTCCCATGTGGTTAATTTGGCGGCCATCTTGGCGGCCATCTTGGATTGCGACAAAAATCAGTAATTGAAATAACTTTTGAGCCAGTCATCATAGGAAGACAAATGAACATATTTTCGGGGTAATGTTGGTGTGAGGAATCGATTGAAAGTGTTATTTTTTATAATATGGCGGCCATCTTGGCGGCCATCTTGGCGGCCATCATGGAATTTGACGAAAATCGGTTATTTGACGTAACTTTTCGTCAGAATCCAAGATGGCCGCCAAGATGGCTGCCTTATTATAAAAATGACGTTTTCAATCGATTCCGCACACCGAAATTAAACCATAAAACATTTTCATTTGTCTTCCTATGATGCCTGGCTCAAAAATTATGTCAATAACCGATTTTTGTCGCAATCCAAGTGGCTGCCAAGATGGCCGCCAAATGAACCCCAAGGGACAATATTTGATCTTGGGAACATCAAAATTCGTTCACGAGACACCCTAAGGATTTCAAAAAAAAGTAGGTTACAAATATATATCCAGGGCGTGCAAGGAAACCCTATCTTTCGACTAGACTAATTCAGCATCCTGTGAAATCATTTGCGCCTAGTATGCCGTATTTTTGCAGACAAAAGGAATAACCATCATTTTCTCGCGATGGTTAGGGCCAGACCTTTAACCCCTTAAGGACGGGGTGTAATAGGGACATTCCTCCACACATAGAGCAAGTGGCCCGCATGACTGCACAGCCTTTGTGTGGTAGCAGGACTGCACAAAAGCAGCAGCTGTGGAACTACCCACTAGCCGTGTGCCACGGCATACCACAGCTGGCAACTGCATTCCAATGAGGATTAGCGGCCGCGGCCATGACCCCTTCCCGTACGCATGGGGTTAACAGTCAATGAAAACATGCTTTGCGTGAGAAAAAATACAGATGCATTGTTACAGTTTTCTCAAAAGTCAATATCACATTTCGTATCAATGTACCAACTTATGTCAGAGGCGGATCTAGTAACTTTTGCTGGGATTGGGTTGGGAGGAGGGGGAGTGGTTCAGGCCCGTCAGATACATAATAACCACTGCAGAATATCTTTACTTTATTATGTCAGAGCAGGAGAGGGGTTCGACCCCCCCCCCCGCCCCTCTTGATCCGTGACTGCATTGTCACTTACAGTAAAAGGCAAGTCTGTCAAAGCCCCATGTTATGGAATTTTCAAATTCAATCCTTATTAAAGGCTCCTTTTGGTGTTCCACTTCACTTTGTTTTTATATTGTTACGAACCCAGAATGCTTGATTATGGAAATCTAGCGCCCTCTGGATTCACTCTGTCCATGAAGTACACAATCTTCTTGTTGTCTTTTATAGTTCCTTATTTTACCTATTTATCGTAAATTGCCAACTTGCACTTTTATTCCCAGGGTCTCTTACCAAGCACAGCGCATGATGCAATACCACGCGCGCTACTGTATGCATTATTCATGTAGCGATGTACATGTGCGCGACTGACCACACCTCCCTTCGCCCCAGCGAGCTAAGTTCCTTTCCCCATAGCATGCGTGCTTTGGCGATCTCCGAGAGACTGCTCAGCTGCACGCAGCATGCTCCCCCGTGTGTTACCCATGAACACTTACTTGAGTTCTCGGTCCAGTTTTCTAGTCCCGTACTTAGCTCGAGGGAATGGAATGTTACCCTTGCGTGGTCGCGTAGCTGGGCGTGGTAAGACATCCTGTGATGTCAATAACCTGTGACACAGTAACCTTTTAGCTTGTCACTCACTCCATCAAGGTTGCTGGAGATGTTGTGTAAACACTTTTGCACTCTGATCTAACTATTTGCACACATCCCTCTCTGTATTTGCACACTTCTCTCTCCATGTTTTCCCTTATGTAAATGCACACGTTTCTAGTCTCTTGCACTAGGCACTCTTAATAAATCATGTGACTAGTCATGTGACCCTAAGACATGGAAGATTACTATTGGTTAATTCCTAAATCAGTGCTCATGCATTATTTAATCCCGAGACTTCTACTGCCTATAAATACCGGAGGTTTTCCTCACTTTCGGCAGTGCGGCGAACCACGAAACCAATGTAGTGCGAACGAACCCTAAACCCAAAGTTGTGCGGCAAACTTATGTGTTGTGCGGTAAATCGTATGATGTGCGACGAACTCGACTCTGACAGACCGATTGTTGTGCGACTCTTGTCACTATGAAGCATCGGCCTCCCTTAGTGGTTGAGGCGCGGTGAAGTAATAGTGCAATCACTAGTACTAGTGTTATTATGAAGCATCCTTCTCCTAGATCCCTCGAGGAGTGTGTAGAAGCTGGTGAAATAGTAATACACTAGTCCCAATGGTGCTGTGCGGTTTCGAATGGCCATTGGACTGCTAGTCTTAGCTTGAACATGTTGTGCGGTTGTCTGGTGTTTTAGCCCAGCCAGAGCTAGTTCATCCCCGTCACCACAGCGGACCGCTCCCGCTGTGGCCAGCCGGCTCCCCGTAGCCATTCCCCCGTAGTTCAGCTATGCTAGCCCAGTCTTGTCATAAACACTATCCTTGGTGCATAGTGCCTCGATTGACCTTGGATACCCGATACGCCACATGCACACTTTGGTTCGAACTGTAGTGCGGCCTGGTACACTTGCTGGCCCCGTCCAGTTACCGTTGCCTCCCCGGTCACCGTAGCGGACCGCTCCCGCTTCGGTCTGGCCGTCGATAACCCGTACCGTGCCGGTGCCCACTCAGTTCGTATTGGTTGACATGGTTTTGCCATTGTACATAGTACATGTATAGACTTTGTAGACGCCAACCTGTTATCTCTATAACGCTACCAAAGACTACCAAAAGGAGAAACCCTATAGGTTGATGAAATCTAACAAAGTTATGTAAAGTGAAGAGATGAATAAATCAGTGTATTGACATGTGTGACTGTCACCCCAAAGTTCTGTTTCCCTCCAACTTATTGAATTATTGTGGACTCTAATAAATGTTTCATGAACTGCTATTAGGGAACGCAACAATATTTTGTATTTCCAGTTTTAAGGGTGAGGGGCTTTGTTTTTTTTGCGTTTTCTTATTTTGCAAATTACTATATATTTGGAGAATGTTCACAATAAGAAACGATATTATTTTGAAACATGTAATAAACATATTACAATGTACATTTTAATTTTTGCCCGGTACAATATTGCATACTGCGTTTCTTATTTCAATTGGAAATTGCGACATTAATAATGGCATAGTCATATTGATCGAACACAACTTCGTTTTGATTGTAGTCAATCATTAAAAATTCATTGATATATTAAATGGACCTTTGCTTTGTTTTTAATACTACTGTAGGCCTGCCAAGCAGATATCAAACTAAATAAACCAAAGTTTTAAAAAATATAGGATTAAAAAATCAAAAAGTTATGTGCTAGCCAGGCATTCAGGGATTGGATGGGCCATAACGATGCCCCATCACAATCCCTTATAGGGCCCTTCTGGGATCTCGGGGGTCCCGGCCAATACACACTTCCTTCCCTGTCCATCCATGTAACCCCGGAGGGCCAGTCACCATGTAAAAGCAAGAGCTAAGGGAGGAACAGGGCGGCACCCTAAGCCCTGATCCTCCGAGTGGACCACATGCCCTGAACCTGTACGAAGGTGCCAACCTGGAACTCGCGGACAGTACCAGCCGCAGTGCTTACCGATTAAGCTAAGGTACAGTTGGTATTTTACGACGGGAAATTAAACATCTTATAATGACTGAATAGAACGCGAGCGGTGAAAAGCAAAAAAGACACCGACGGGATTCGACCCCGGACTCCGCGATTCGTGGACGACGAATCTAACCACTCGGCCATCAGGCTTCCTTGGAATTCTCCTCAAAAACAAGTTGTCTTAATAAAAGGCGGAGAAACCTGGAACATTGATTTGTGCATCTGTTTTGGCTCCATGGACGAACAGAATTGAAGTCTATTATTTCGGGCAATAACGAGTCAAGTGTTTTCATTTGTTTGGAAACTAATGTATACGGCAGCTTTGTTACGTGTGCTAAACATACTCATCGTTACGCAACAATGAACACTATTGTCATGGGGGCTTTTTTTAAACAGGCATCAGGTGCGTTCAGGGGCGGATCCAGGAATATTTGCGCGGGTGGGGAATCAGGTCCATCAGAAATGTATATCCGATCTTATCATTATTATAATTGTTACCATATTCATATGTCAGAACGGGGGGGGGGGGGTTCGACCCCCTTCTGGATCCGCTCCTGACTTCTACTCTTTGTATTTGGACAGATACAGATTCTAAAATCCGTCACTACTATTTCAACATGGTACGGACGTCTTTAAAAAAGGAAACGATAATTGTTTTTACCGATTTGTTTGTTAACACTGTAAATCAGGCCTATAGGCCTATTCCGTTTGCTGTTCCCAGCAGCCCTTCATCAGCCTGTTATCAAACAATAATTTCGTGAAAAATAACGTCAACAGCAAGTTTTCATCCTCAATTTTCAAAAAACGAATATTAAAATGTAGACCAAAAATCAACATTACACCAGGACATCACATTACACTATGGGAGCTGTTCACGATGTGCCTCCTTACAGCTGAATGAGAAGAGCTGATGAGCTTCACAGAATCTTGTGAAGGAAGTGAGGATGGCATATGGGGTAACTTACCATGTCCTATAAATAGAGAAATAATTAAAGCTGCTGCAGCCAGGTGCAGGCTAGACTGGTTCCCTGACCCCATTGTCCTTTGGCCTTAAAAAAATATCTTTAGGGCTGCAGACCAGTAAATAAACTGCCATAGACCCCAATGATAAATGCCCCAACTTCAAAAATTCAGGAAGAAAACTCATAACTTAACTCTCCAAGGTATTCTTCTTTTTTGGGGGGTGGGGGTGTTAACTGATGACTTTTAGGAGAAATTGCTATCCGAAGATGATCACCCCTTAAAATTTGGTCCTGAAGCCCATCGCCATTTTGAAAAACGACGCCTACCCTCCATTGCAAAATACAGCGCTTTTAGGGCTCCAATTTCATCCAAATTGCACAGAACTACAAGCTCACAGTTTTAATCCACACATATAGTTTACGGCCCAAAATATGCACAAAAAGCGAAGAATTTGAGGGCATACAAATCGTGATTTGGCCGGCGTAGGCAATTTCGGACCGATTTACTGGACTGCACCTAGAATATTTCCCGGCCCCTACCTAAGGTTGCAGGCATAGGTCCGAAATCGCCTACGGGTACTCGTAAAAGGCCGCTGGTAAAAAGGGCACTTGTTTAAAAAAAAAAGGCATACTTTAAACAAATGTTGGGGGGTTAGACGCTGGTAAAAAAGGGCCCTTGTGTACAAAAGTGCAGTCTAAACAACAAATATTCGGAGGTAAATACCCCCTCCCACCCCGCAGACGTAACTTCAAGTTACGGAATTTTAAACACAACAACCGTTTTAAAGTTCTGTCCGGCACGGATCACAAAAAGGTAAGTGTTCTTGCAGCAAAATGAAAACAAATCACATCGGGATGTGTTGTTGAAAGAACGCACACATTTCTTTGTGATCCGTGGACTGAACTTTAAAACGGTGATTGTGTTTAAAATTCCGTAACTTGAAAAGTACATAAGTAATTCTAATGATTGTACTCAAAGAAAGCTTATGAACTGGGCTTTTATATCCTAGATTTTGAAAGTGCTGCATGCAGAACTTCACCTAAAAAATAGTCCCGACATTTGGGTTTCGTTTTGTTTTTTACTCACCCTGTATAATTATGATCCGTGTAGTGTACATGACCCACACTTCAAAATTTATTCCCTGGTTAACAAATATACTCGGAATCCGGGTTCCGCCACATTTTCCTACGCTTTTGCGGGTCAAAATTACTCATATCTGACTCATTTTATAGCTTTAAAGCCTCGTTTTGAAAGTTTATAAAGGTTGACCCCTTGTGAACTTCAATCCCAATGGGCCTTATGCACGAGTCGGCCATATTGAATTGAGAGTGAGGTAAAATGGAACTTTTGGATCTTGCGAAGAGAAATGAAAGCTAGTAAATTACTAATTAATTCCAGTCTGCTTCCATTAATAATTTAAAATTTATAATTGAACATTCCCTCATATTTAAAGCCAAATTAAAAGAAAAAGACAAGTAAAATAGGGCCGCATTATGCCTGCATAAACAGTCTGGCGCCATCCCATTAATCGCTTAACTATATAAATACATTCAGGGAACTCGAATGTAAACTTTAGGCTTACATGCTATACATTTTTAGCATGAGGTGATAGCAAGAAAGTGTTTAGAATTGTGTTTACTCGCTAAACACATTTGGTTTAAGCCAGTCAAATATCCACACAGAGGCAATTAGGATACCCTCATCCCAATTACTAAAATTAAAAACTTGGTCCCATGGTCAATTTGACCTCTCTTGGGAAATTATTCATAACTCTATCAAAAACTATCAGATGTTGACGTTTGATGTCTCATTTTAAAGTGGAAAGGAGTATCTTTCAAACCATACCTATATATTAGGGCCTATCTATGTTGGTTACACATTCTATGTCTGGCAACCCGTCATATTTTGTTTGCATTTACTGTATTTGCCAGGGTTATTATGCAGGTGCAAAAACGCTGAGGTCAATTGTTCGAAATTTCCATTTCTACCTCAATCCCAAGGACAGTTTTCAATATCCAACAGATGTCATCATTTCATATGGTTGTCTGAATAAATGAAATTTCAATTTAAAAAAAGAAGAACATATTTGAGAATTGTCGCCGTTATATGCTGCATTGTTGGTGCCTAGGGCCACGTGATACATAATTGGGATAAGTGCACGTACAATATAGCTGCTTCTCTTCCTATAACACCTGTCATTCTGTTCCTGGATGCTGAAGCCATAGGATCACATGCGGACACCGTAACTTCAATTTGTAAGTTTAGCACACCCTTTTTTTTCTACAGGTTGAGAGCTTAAAGTAGCCATGCGTAGTTACATTACATTAACAAAAAAAATGGATTCAATTATCGTCAAAGGATGAAAACGTAGTGTAGATCAGGGAAGCACCCCACCCATAAAGGGGGGGGGGGTCAAAGATGGTTAAAATAATTGAAATACACTTAGTACTTAGTTATATTCCTAAAGGCACGATAATTCACCTGTTACGCATTTTGCTCGTTTCAAAAATAATAACAACACTCAAAATCCCAATAAGAATGTTCCAAACCTAACCGCTTCAGGTTTCAGCTCTGTGGAGATAACGCTTCTCGAGCACTCAGTGCAAAACCATGCACAGCCTTTTGAATATTACAAACACGATTTCATCCACAGCGCTCTTTGTTTCCCTCAATTACATTTCTTAATTTCTTCTAAATGAAAGCAAACCAGACGGAATGTCACCGGGCGTTTCTTAGCGCAGTACGATCTTTGATCCAGGCAAGTTCTTACATTTTGTGGCAACTGTCGGGAAGAATGTCGGTGCATTAATATTTGTCACCACCTTTTCTTCAACGCTGGCATTTTGAGATTGGTGAAGAAATTCAAGTCATGACTAGAGTGGAACGACGTCCAGAAAGGGTGTAAGTACCATATATCTTCGAAGTTCAGATTATTTGTACATTTTTACAAAAATAGTTCTCTAACAATTGCTTCGTAAGTTGACGTAACTATTAAATCACTGTTAATAGGTCGTATCTTCGTGCGTTTGCGTTGACATCGTTTGTCAGCGCGTCGTTGACATCGTTTGTCAGCGCGTCACATGTGCAATGCATAACGCCATATTGTGGTAGCGCAAAAACGTCGTGCGTTAAAAATTCCTCCAAAATTCATATTCTGTAAGTAATATAGTCAATTACAGATGTGGGAAATACGAGAAATATTGAACTGGAAATCACTTCCACCGAAAAAAAATGTTTTTGTGCTAATAACAATCTTTTGGCTGTGCAAAGCGAAAACAGCCGTTTCATTCAATTCCATTCGGAGGTGTAATAGGGCGAGAGTAGTAAAATTATTTTCAAACTCGGATTTTGAAGAATTTGTACGTATAAAATAATGGAACGTTGGAGTGTTTATATGCAAAAGCGTCGGGATGCGCAGTTTTGACACAAAATATCTAGTGCGTCGCATAGAGTTCTCAAAACGTCATCTCGTTCGTTTCTATTTATGGTTATGAAGCTACTGTGAAAATGTTTCCAGATTGATTGTTTATTGGAATAATATTTCTTACTTGTCCAGTGACATACTTCATGGGCGTTCTCATGATGATGTGGCGAGTATCGTGATAGACAGTGGATCCAGCATGACCAAGGCCGGCTTCGCGGGGGAGGACGCTCCAAGAGTCTCCTTCCCCAATATCGTTGGAAGGCCGCGTCACAAGGTAAAACGTTTGATGTTAAAGGGGCACTAAGGTCTGAAATCCCCAAAAATGTCATGTATTTGACTAATGGATTGTTTGAATGTCCTATTTTAAAGATCATATTGAAAGGAAATAACCAAATGTCTAATCGTTCCAGAGAAACGACGAAAACAACTGGTTGTTTGCATTCGACGCGGCGGACATTGTGGCATACGCATACGTATTTCAAGCCGTGTATATTCAATGGACCGCACACGTTGGGGGTGTGTGTGTATCAAACACACAGCACCAGTTCAAAAATGTTGTTTCTCTCACGTCCGCTGAATGCGAACCACTTTGTGTGGTAGGATTCACAACTAGCTAAGCCACGCTAAATGTGCTACCTGCACACGTCCGACATGCGCTTGGCGCACTGTATGCGGACGTAATCAAAACCATTCACACGGCCGTCCGTCCGTATATTATTGAAATTTTGGGATAACGCGCCGTATAAAAATGTTCTCGCTATACGCTATATACTGACTATTGAGTGTTGACCAATGACCGGTCTATCTGAATATGATTGGGTTTTTTTGTAGTCAACGTCACGCATTCCAAATGTCATGATTTTGTCTTTTTTTCATGACTGGTGATTTATTTTGTGAGGGTGTCATGGTCGGCATGGGACAGAAGGACGCCTACGTTGGCGAGGAAGCCTCGAGCAAAAGAGGTATCCTGAACCTGAAGTACCCCATCGAGCACGGTATCGTCACTAACTGGGACGACATGGAGAAGATCTGGCATCACACCTTCTACAACGAGCTGCGTGCGGCCCCAGAGGAGCACCCCGTGCTGCTGACTGAAAAAGTCCTGAACCCCAAAGCCAACAGGGAAAAGACGGCAGAGGTGATTATATGTTTTTTTAATCCGCCACGGCACTTTCTTGGGCCTAATTTATGAATTAACAAAAATGAATTCAAACAACGAACATTTTATTTTCAAACATATGTTTTATTATAAACTTGTAATTACATGGTCTAGATCATGTTCGAAGTTTTCAACGTACCTGCACTGTACGTGGAAATACAGTCTAAACTGGCTCTCTACGCCTCTGGTCGTACTACGGGAATCGTGCTAAACGCTGGTGGGGGCGTCACCTACGCTGTGCCCATCTACGAGGGTTACGCCCTGCCGCACTCCGTCACCCGCCTGGATTTGGGAGGGGATGACTTGACTGGCTATCTGCTCGGGATGCTGTCAGACCGAGGCTACTCTTTCACTACCGAGGGTGAGTGTCATACGAATTGACCGTTCGCCACCCATCACCGTAAGAAAAACAATGCTTAATTTGTCCAACAACTGGCATAAAGGTGCCTCATTATTGGTTAATTCGGGTAGCAATTGACCAAGTATTGGAAAGAAATCGCCCGATTGCTGTTAGATGGTAGCCTATAATTTATGTTGAGGACAATGGGGCAAAAGAAATACCAATCAATTTCCAAAACCTTTTTTTACAGTGATAGTGGGTTGCTGTAATACGGTTGATATACTTAATAACCACTTATATAGTATCAGTTGCTTCGACGTGTTCAACTTTCATGTATTCACCATGCATGTGAATTAATGTTCCCACAAAAGGGAATTTAAAATGCCTGTACGCTGCAAATCCAAAAGAAAGTGCATTCGTCTATATTTGTTTCTTGTTTCATTTTCACTTAAAGCTGAGCGTGTGATTGTCCGTGATATGAAGGAGAAGCTCTGCTACGTTGCTCTTGACTTCGAGCAGGAGATGCAGACCGCGGCTTTCAGCTCCTCCCTGGAGCTGACCTACGAGCTCCCTGACGGACAGGGCGTCACTGTCGGGAGCGAGCGGTTCCGCTGCCCAGAGGCCCTCTTCCACCCGAGCTTCGTGGGCATGGAAGGCGACGGAATCCACGTGGCCACGTACAAGAGCATCGCCAAGACTGACTCGGGCATCCGCCAAGACATGTACGGCAACATCGTTCTGGCTGGCAGCTCCACCTTGTTCCCCAGCATCGCTGAACGAATGCGGCAGGAGGTGACGGCCCTGGCCCCGCCCACCGTGAAGGTCAAGATCATCGCTCCCCCAGAGAGGAAGTACTCCGCGTGGATCGGCGGCTCCATCTTTGCCTCACTGTCCACCTTCCAGCCGATGTGGATCAGCCAGCAGGAGTACGAAGAGTCTGGACCAAGCGTCATTCATAAGTCACATTTCTGATTGGCTCACTAGTGTAATTTCTGATGAGCTGAATAACAGGAATATCATACAAAATGATAAATATTCATGAGGGCAGTGGTTAGAATAACTTAAAAAGGTGACGGTTGAAATGTTCCGTTCCACGAGACGGAGATGCTTTCTGAATTACCGGTGCAGCGTGCATATCCGACTCAATGAAATATGGACTCATTGGTAGCGTTGCGCATGCGCTATTTTTAGGATCACATACGGGAAAGTGACCTGTCACGTGCGAGGAATTAACCAATAATAGGGGAAAGGAGTCCGATTTGCATAGGAGTCGGATTATGATACCGGTATGTTGTGCGTATTTTGCGTTATCGTGTTCCAACAAAAGAGGGCGCATTTTTACTACTTTTGAGAGCCCCGTCCATATATAGACATCGAATAAAACCTGTGTACATGTCACTGTCGGCACAATATTTACTGGGGGAACTCTGTTTGCATTCAGTTTTAGGTATTTTCTTATCTTGCACGAGCACACCAAAGTTAAGTACATGTAAACTTTTGTCCCGAGAGTAACCTAAAACTAACATGAGATCAGTTGTGGTTTTCATATGGATATTTTAATTATAGGAAATATGTAACATCTCGTGGTTTGAGTATTCATATTATATATTCCTCGGGTCGGAAATTTATGTTTATTACTATTCAGTTTGCAAGGTCAATCGTACAATATACAATTTATTAGTATAATACTATCACGAATTGAATTGCAAATTCTGGTTCGAGGGTTTTATTCAAAAATATTTATTTATAGAGGATGAAAGTATAACACACAACGAAGAAAAGTCTAAACAGTTTCAATTCTTAATTAATTCATTTTTCGCTTATAGTTTATGAGTTTGTAATTTTTTGGTTATTCTTGTCAAAACTGTATTTTTGGAGCTTGGGAATTTCTGAAATTTGATTTTGGGACTGGAATTGTATCGTTTTGGTTTGCGGTGACACCGTGTGGTAATATAATAACTGCATAGAGATATTTAGTAACTTGTCCTGCTTATTATCAACTTTCGCTTAGTGGTTTTAGTTCCGATAAGAACAGTCATGCTTTACGTTCTAAAAGAAGGTATATTTGGTCTTAAAAGCTGAAAAAGAGCGGAAGACACGATAATTTGAGACAATATTTACCAGGGTATTTATGCATGTGCATAAAAGCCGAGGTCAGTTCTTTGAAATATCCATTGAACCTTACGACCAAGTCAGTTGTAATCTACAACAGATGTATTATGATTTCTTTTATGGTTGTCTGAATAAATGAAATATTAATAAGAAAGGGATACTATGAGAGAAGAGTCACCGTTATAATGCTGCATGATTGGTGCCTTAGGGTCACGTGAGTGCGCGTACAATGTAATGGAGCTAGTTGTTCTCTTCCTATAACACCTGTCATGCATTCTGTTCTTGGATGTTGAAGCCCGAGGACCACTTGCGGACACTGTAACTTCAATTTGTGAGTTTCACACTATTCTTCTCCATGTTTACAGCAAAATGAGCCAATCCTTCTTTATATTTGAATTGACTAGGCCTATTAAATTATTCAATTATTCTTGACTTCAAGTGTTTAAATCCAACATTTTCAATGTCAAATCCAAAACTTTAACTCAACCAACATGTTAGATGTTGGTTCAACACTTGCAAAGTTAACACTTTAAAAAATGTTACATGAAAACTCACGACCAAACCAACATAAGTGTCGGAATCAACACTACATTTTGTAAAGTGTATAGGGTTAGCTGAATGAGGTTGCGGACACCGTAACTTCAATTTGTGAGTTTCACACTATTTTTCTCCATGTTTACAGCAAAATGAGCCAATCCTTCTTTATATTTGAATTGACTAGGCCTATTAAATTATTCAATTATTCTTGACTTCAAGTGTTTAAATCCAACATTTTCAATGTCAAATCCAACACTTTAACTCAACCAACATGTAATTAGATGTTGGTTCAACACTTGCAAAGTTAACACTTTGAAAAATGTTACATGAAAATGTCAGCTTGTGTTGGATTTAGGCCTAACATTTAAAATGCTGGATTCAACATTCAAAATGCTGAATTCTTCACTTTCAAAGTGTAGTCACTCACGACCAAACCAACTTAAGTGTCGAAATCAACACTACAGTTTTTAAAGTGTATAGGGTTAGCTGAATGAGGTTTGACTGTTTTCTACAGTCAACCCTAGCTCCAACTGTATATAGAATGTTTTTAGAGTTGTGCGTATCGGAAACAAACTTTTCCCACAGTCTCTGAAATAAACTGGTTGCGGTTTTAACAGTCAAGATCATATACATTTGTTGCATACGGGAATAAAAACAGTGCCTTAATTTTTCCACCCTTTTCTCTTCAACACAGGCTTTGAGATTGCGGTGAAGAAAACCAAGAGAGCACAATGTCTTTCTTTTTGTCACTTCAACGAGGTTGTAACTACCTTTTTTTTCAACAATCACATACTTATGGATTCGTACATTATTGACGAAATAAATTCACGCTGTATACGGTCGATCTCGATTGCATGCCTTATCATTTTTCTAGTCGTATGCATCAGCGAGTCTCAATGCAACACGCCATTGCCGTGGTACAGACCTTTCTTTTGTTTGTAAACATTGGCGCCATTTTATATGGGCAGCCGCAAGCGCATAAATTGAAGCCGTAGTTGGCCGTTATTTTTCCAGAAAAAAACCTCAAAACGCCTTCAATACATCGTAAAAAGGCATGTGTAAAAATTATGTTGTATGGTCGTTGACAATGTTGTATTTCCAAATATCAAATAATATTTGAGTTATCTGTAATAACTCTTCTTCATTTTTGCAGTGTTGGGCCTTCCATAGTTTTGCAACCCGTGGTTGGCAAAATGTGCAGTTTGCCAACCAAGCGTAGCAAGGTCTATAGTGCATTCATCGAAATTTATAATCTTGTGTAGTCTTGGCCCAACACCTCAGTGATCAAGAGCATTGGTTGCATTGTTGTGTAGCGCACTTGCATAATTGGTATCGACTGATGTGTCGGGCGAGCAATCGAACTTATAAAAGAGTTATTAGCATGTAATCTTGTTCGTTTAAACTGTTCTATTTGAAAATGATAGGGGTTAGTCGAAATTAAAGCTGGGTAGATCATTTTGTGCATTTTTTTCGTTTTGAAGCAACCTTTTGCTCAAAATCTAAAAACGGGTGCTTAACAACTAACCTGAGGAAAACGGGTGCTTTCATCAACCTGATGTAGTTGTAGCTCTGTGACTGCAGTATAATTCCGAGATAACAATATCCTAGGATCTCTGTTTCAATTCAAAAAGTTGCCGACTCATATTTTTAATTACGCCCGATATCTGCATCCGGGACACATCCTCATCCGATTGCAGCAACTACGCGATGCCACGCGCTGATGAATTGACCACAGATTTGGAATTGACAAAATAATAGCAGCCATGCGCGCGTGTGCGTCGTGTCATCACCCTAGCGCACCCATTCACGGATTCGCCGAATTACAAACCAACTACTGATGGAAATTCCAAATGTGCGTCACTTGACATCACTTTGGCAAATATTTCATTGTTTTCCTCAAAATTACAGCACGCCAAAAAGAATAATTACACAGGGATTTTAGTGCCATTACTATCTTTCAACCAAGTGTTTGATTTTCACAACTAATTTTGTCAGTTACTTTTTGCATAGCCGCAAATTAACTACTCTAACTTTAATGTCAAAATATTTCCCGATAGGCTTGCATTTACCTGGGTAATATGTCTTTTTTTTTCAAGATCGTAAAGTTAAACCTGAGGAGATAGATCGTGCAAACCTAGTTCGTGAGCGTTCTTCTGATGATCCGGTGTGCGTCGTGATGGACAGTGGATCCAGCATGACCAAGGTCGGCTTTGCGGGAGAAGACAGTCCACGGATCAGCTTTCCCACCGTTGTAGGAAAACCGCGTCGCCAGGTACGTAAAACGTTGTCTTAAAGGTAGTGTATATCATTTGTGCACTTTTTGTTTGGTTTGAAGCAACAAGAGTACTCAAGATCTACAGATAAGAAGGGTGATTAACAACTAACCTGATGAAGCTTTAGCTCAGTGAATAACGTATATTCCAAGAAAACAATATTTTATAGGATCTCAGTTTCAATTCAGAAGTTGTCGAGTAACATGCCTCGACTCCATGGGCGCGTGCGCGTTCCTTCACTTGCGCAAGGCATGATGGGAAACAACATGGCGCAGCAAGATCGTATCCATGGAAATGAAGTTGTTGAGTAGTAACGTTTTGAATTGCGCCAGAAATCAGCGTCTGGGACACGTTCTCATTCAGCCGATTGCAGCTTCACGATGTCACGCTCTGAACCGACGAATTATAGCAATTAGACACAAACTACTAACGGAAATTAACCCCCAAAAGGGGGCTTTAGACGAATATTTGGAAATGACCTTCTTTTATCGTTTTCTTTAAAAATGACAGCATGCCAGAATGAAAGAAATTTTGTCTAAAAAAAGCATTCTTTTCAACGATAATTTCGTCAATTACTTTTTGGATAGCTGCAAATGATATTCTCTACATTTAAAGGCACAGAGGATCATACCGTATTATTATTATTAAAAAAAATGTGAATTCCCTCTGGCTTGCATCATTTAGAAGAAATCAAGAAATGCAGGTGATTTCCAACGATCAGTAATTGACTAATGGTTGGAAATTAAAGTACCATTCACTCAATAAGATTTAGAGGAAAAAGATTTTATTCCCAGACGTTCGCTATTAACTTGTAGGTTTTGAAGATATTTCAAATTCCTTTAGGGTGTCATGGTCGGCAAGGGGCAGAAGGATGTCTACGTTGGTGAAGATGCCTTGAACAACAGAGGGATCCTGACCTTCACTCACCCAATGGAGCACGGCATCGTTACCAACTGGGACGACATGGAGAAGATCTGGCATCACGCCTTCTACAACGAGCTGCAAGTGGCCCCAGAAGAGCAACCCTTACTGCTGACTGAACAAGTCTGGAACCCAAAAGCCAACAAAGAAAAGATGGCAGAGATAAAAAGACATGTAAAAAAAAACATATCTTCGCAATAGCACTATCTTGGGCCTCATTATCAGAGGTGTATAATAAGGGCGACAAATTTTAAAAAATATTGTTAAACCTTATATGGTCTAGATCATGTTCGAGACCTTCAAAGTACCCGCACTGTACGTGGAAACACAATCTGTACTGGCTCTCTACGCCTCTGGTCGTACTACGGGAACCGTGCTAAATGCCGGTGGGGGCGTTACCTACGCTGTGCCCATCTACAAGGGTTACGCCCTGCCGCACGCCCCCATCCGCATGGACCTCGGAGGAGATGACTTGACTGGCTATCTGCTCAGGATGCTGTCAGAGCGGGGCTACACTGGTGAGTTACGATACCACGCTTTTCATTGTTCACCGCCAATGGTGAGTTAGGCCTGTTGTGTCATTTTTAAAAGTTGAGTGTTCACCACCCTTCACTGTAAAAAAAAAAAAAAAAAAAAATTGTCCAAAATCTGGCGGATCCAGACCCCCGCCCCCGCTCTGACACCCACAATAAATTATAACAAAAAGTGCATCAGTAACAATGTGCTGCGTTACCTAAATGTCCGCCTGTCCTCAACAATCGAACATAAAAATATCTGACGGGACTCCCCCCCCCCCCCTTGCAAAATTCCTGGATCTGCTCCTGATAATTGGTATGAATTTACCTCCTCGTTGGTTAACTCTGGAAAAATCAACTAAGTATTGGGAAGGATTTGCCCGAGAGAGCGGCAGCCAAGGGCGGATCCAGAACACAATTTGGGGGAACACAATTTGGGCGGATCCAGAACACAATTTGGGTCCCCCAAAAAAGTGGGTCAAAAAAATTACGGCGTGGGGTTCGGGGCCCGCTTAAGGGCCCCGAAAATTTTTTGGATTCTAGATGCTCTGTGGTGCGATCTGAGGCAATTTCTGACCACTTTAACCAATGTTTTTTTGAGGAAAAGATGGTGGTGTACTCATTGCCTGCCTTTATTGCGATGTCACATAAACAAAACAATTGGTTTAGTTTTTTTGGGGGGGGGGCATGGCCCCCTTTGGCCCCCCTGGATCCGCCCTTGGCGGCAGCTGATATGCTGACTGGGAAACTTTACCAACATTTTCGCTCAATTTTCTTTACAGTTATGGTGAGTTACTGTACCATGTTTTAAGTTGAGTAATCACCCTCGATGGTGAGTTGCTTTGACGCGTTTTAGGTTGAGTGTTCACCATCCATGGCGAATCAATATTCCAAAGAGCTGTTCAAAGGAATTTAAAATACTTGTATCTTGAAAATCAAACACAAAAGGTATTAGTGTACATAATATTTCCGTTTTATTTTCACTCAAGCTAATCGTGAGATTGTCCGTGACATCAAGGAGAAGCTCTGCTACGTTGCTCTTGACTTTGAGCAGGAGATGCAGACCGCTGCTTCCAGCTCCTCCCTGGAGACGAGCTACGAGCTCCCTGACGGACAGGTGATCACCATCGGCAACGAGCGGTTCCGCTGCCCAGAGGCCCTCTTCCAGCCGAACCTCTTGGGCCTGGATGGTCCCGGGATCCACGAGGCCACCCACAACAGCATCACGAATTGCGACGTGGACATCCGGAAGGATCTTTACGGTTACATCGTGCTGGCCGGTAGCGCCACCTTGTTCCCCGGCATCGCTGACCGAATGCAGAAGGAGGTGGCGGCCCTGGCCCCGCCCGGCAACGTGAAGGTCAAGATCATCGCTCCTCCAGAGAGGAAGTACTCCGCATGGATCGGTGGCTCCATCTTTGCCTCTCTGTCCACCTTCCAGGAGTTTTTCATCAGCAAGCAGGAGTACGACGAGTCTGGCCCAAGCGTTATTCACGAGATAAATAGCTGATTGGCAGATAATAATTAATTTCACGTGGTATATACACCTTGCAACTGACGTCACATCTTTGGGCAGGTCAGTGTTCCTCTATACTGTGGACAAGTGTACGAGCATCGCTCTCTCATTGTTATTGAAATGAAATGAAAAAAAAAACCTGTCCCCAGAGAGGGGACATCGTGCAAGGGGTCTATTGATAATAACCGTGAGCGATTTTGACCCTGTGTAAAGGGGTGATACGAGCAAACTGGTATTTGCACACAGATTATGAGTTTTCCTCAACATGACACTTTACTATAGCGACTTTTCTTCGATCTTAAGTTTTCTCTTAATTGTTTTCATAATATACATTTAATATGCGCGAGTGCTATCTGATGTAAAAGTAAGGTCTTACATTAGCTTATTAACAACGTAATATACAAAATGAATTCGAAATAATTCTACAAAATGTATAATGGTTGGGGTGTTTGGTTGTTAGACTTGTCCAATTTTACTTCTTTATATAAGTTTAATTGTTTTCTCAGATTCATCGAGTTAAAATTCCTACACTTCTACAAATTTGAGAGAAATGACTTTCAGTTTCTATTAATCTAAAGCTAATCTTGAAATTCCACCGGTAATTGTTTGGCGAATAAAGGGCGACAGTTTTCAGAACTATAATGTCACATCACGTTAAAGGTGACTACTTTGTGTTGATAAAAATAGTTTTCGATATTGGGATTTTTGGGTTATTCTTGTCAAGACTGTAATTGTGGAGTTTGGGAATATCTGAAATTGGATTTTAGAACTGGGATTTTATTTTTAAAACGTCTCAGTGTTATCTGGGTTCACGAAGGTTAAATTTCAGGTGTTTGTTGGTAAAGTTTCATCACTATATGATCCGTGTACGTGACCCACACTTTAAACAATTCCCCGGTTAAAAAATAGACCCCTGGACCGGGTTCCAGTGGCGTTTATCTGTGCCAGCGAGTGGGGGGGGGGGGGGGGGGGGGCGGGGCAAACATTGCCCGGCTGTGGAAATTCGAAAAGCCTGGGGGGGGGGGGGACGGGACTGAACACCACATTACACTAGGAGGAGCTCTTCAGGATATATTACATTATGCATACTCTCGGTTACATCATGACGGCGCATTTTAAATGCTTTTGTACGTCGTTTCTCTACTTTTCAGCGCTATTGAACACATTTTGGTTGTTCGGATGTTCAACAAAATGCCTTGAAGTCCGCAATTTAGTTCGCATCACGGCAATTGTGGGGGATGATTCAATAGCTCACCCCCCTGGTCAAAAAGTGGGGGATATATACCCCATCCCCCCCCCCCCCCTCCGGATTAACGCCCCTGCCGGGTTCCATCATACATGATTTTTCTCGGTCAAAACTTACGCTTCTCCCGGTCAAAATGGTACTTGTCTGACTCATATAGAGCTTTAAAGGCTCATTTGGAAAGTTTATAAAGGTTGACCCCTGGTGAACTTCGATCCACACACGATCTGCAATTGGAAGCTTGTCTCTAGGCTGTGGAAGAATATACCATCATCATGTTGTGGCCATCTTGATTTTCCCATTCAAATCAACGTAACCAAAGGGAGGCAAGAAGGAAACATAGTCTGGTTCCTTTTTGTAAAATAAAAAACCCAAAACAATCAATACTATTATTGGATACAGGGAACATGACTGAAATGGTGGCAACATGATAAGGTCTATTTGGCCTTAAAAGCTGCAAAAGAGCGGCAGACACGATAGGCGTGACAATATTTACCAGGGTAACTATGCACGTGCATAAACGCCGAGGTCACTTCTTTGAAATTTCCATTTAACCTTAATACTAAGTGCAGGTTAAATCCACAACAGATGTATTTTCTTGTTTTTATGGTTGTGTGAATAAATGAAATATTAATAAAAAAGGGATAATATTTGAGAACTGTCACCGTTATAATGCTGCATTGTTGGTGCCTTATGGTCACGTGCTACATAATCGGGCTAAGTGCGCTTAATACACAATAATTATAGTTGCTTCTCTTCCTTTAACACCTGTCATTCCGTTCCTTGATGCCGAAGCCCGAGGATCACAAGCGGACACCACTTCAATTTGTGAGTTTAGCGTCACTATTTTAAATTACCAAAACATTGATTCAATTATCGTCAAAGGATGAAGATGTAGTGTGGATCGGGGAAGCACCCCGCTCGTAAAGGGGGCGGGGTTCAAAGGTGGTAAAATTGATATACACTTATGTTGTTTGATTAATTATACGAATCAATAGGCCCACGCTTATGGGCCTTTTTCGCAAGTCGGCCATTTTGAATTCAAATTCTTAATTTTTTTGAACTTGCAAAGAGAAATGAAAGCAAGTTGATGACTTATTATTTCAAGTCTGCTGTGATTAAACATTCCCTAAAAATGGCAGTAAAGTAACGCTACATTGATGCCTGCAAAAATAGTCTTTAGTGAATACATTCGGGGAACTCGACAAAAATGGCCGACTCGTCCATTTGAATATCCAATTGAAAAGAAAATTAGAAAAATAACAAAATTGCACGGTTTAATATGAATCCTTATTTTGAAACATACACACAGTTATAACGTGTTTCTTAGCTACATTTATTTTTACATTATTGTATTCTTTAAGGCACGATAATTTGCTTTTCATGCAATTTGTTCCATTCAAAAATAATAACAGCACTCACAACCCAAAGAAGAATTTGAATATCCATTTGAAAAGAAAATTAGAAAAATAACAAAATTGCACGGTTTAATATGAATCCTTATTTTGAAACATACACAACAGTTATAACGTGTTTCATTTTGACTTTTTTTTACATAATTGTATTGTTTAATGCACGATAATTTGCTTTTCATGCAATTTGTTCCTTTCAAAAAATTAGAACAAAGACCAGCACAAAGCTTCAAAAAATAGAAAGCGAATTAGACTTTGAAAAAGAAGTTAAAAAGCGGGTAGACGAACGGCTGGCAAAAGAAAAAAAATCTCTTATCGAAAAACTTACAAGTTCAAATTCTCGGTAAATAAACATTATGAAGGCGATCCTCCGAGTTATACCTCTATTTCACCTCTTAGGGCTACACCCTCGGCCCCGCCTTTATTGTAGTGGTCATCGTATCTTTTTAGTGCCTTATTAAATTGATTTTGAGTCACTTTAAATAAATCTCTAACTCGTTCTTTGTCTAATCCAACGACGTGATGATAACACGCCGCTATTAACGACCGTTTAACGCAACCATTTCCTCTCAATGTTTTGTAATTAACGAGCTCGTTATATTTGTTGATTGTTTCTTGGACATCTTCTAAGTCTTGCTCTGGACAAAAAGAAAAAAATAAGTTTCTCCACAGTTTTTCTTTTGTTTCTTTTTAAAGTTGACCAATTGATACGATCTTCTTGCGCATTTTCTGCCGAAAAATCAAAGTAACGTGAGACTATTTCACCGCACGTTTCACAAACTAAAAAACCATTCTCGATGATTATATGGTGATCGCACTGATCCCCAAGTTGCGACGTCTCAAAGTATTCCATCTATTTAATAAACTTCAATAAAAATGATTGCATTTTTAAATAAATAAAATATCGCCCTCTGTTTTTTTTATTGAACAGCACCTATCTTTATAAAATTAAAATCAGATCTCTTAGCGCCTATAAATAGCACCCTCTGTTTTTTATCGGTACATTAACCCTTATCATAAAAATTAAATACCGCCCTCTGTTTATAATTGATATCCCTCACACCCATAAATGGCGCCCTCTATAGGATATACAATACTCAGACACAAACAAAAAAACCTTGAAGAAACAAATTATATTTACAACCATTTATTTATACAAATTTAACTAAGATTTACAAACAAGTGATAAACTTTAAAACAAGTGATAAACTTTAAAAACAATGATAAACTTTAAAACAACAATATCAAAGTCTTTTTAAAAAGCATTCACGTTGCTAGGCACCACACTTAATAAATCATACACAAATAGACTCTGATTGTTAATGGTCATACTCGGACCGAATACAATAGAAATCACTAGTCATGTAAACAACTTTGATGATTCATTTAACGATCAGCCTTGTACCGAATACAATAAAACCACACTCCATTGTTAAATGGTCATACTCGGACCGAATACAATAGAAATCACTTGTCATGTATACAACTTTGATGATTCATATAACGATCAACCTTGTCTAGTTATCGTGACAAGCAGTGCCTTTGTACACACTTTGTACCCGATGGGTTATATACAAAAACATATCGACTAACTTCATGACAAAGCAATGTATAATCAGGTAGTCCTATATGTACTTTGTTTCCAAATATTGGCGATATGTGAGACTTGCAACATAAGTTTAATTTCTTTTCTAAGGCTGTAAAGTTTGTAAAATGGTAGTCCTAATAGCCTAAACAAGGGATAGTCGCATAATAAATGTGAAATCACGCGTAGCTTATTCGCGTAAGACCGCTGGATACCTACGTTGTCTTTTACCCAGTCATCCCAGGATTGTAATGGTTGCTCATAAGCATGAATTACATGAGCAATATGAAGTACTCTTCCATAGTCTAGATAAAAACGGATTGTGAGGGCCTCATGTCGCGCAACTCTATCATAGGCAGCTACAAGATAATAACGGGCTGTCTCCAGGTTTTTTACTTCAGATAATTCACCTAAAGGACAGTGGCTTTCCTGAGAACAGTCTTCTTTTACGTTACCAATTAAATATAGATGCAGATCATTTCCAGTAAGCTTAGACGTTGTTTGTTTATCTAATAGAGATCTAATATTTCCTTTTGGTTTTTTGGGTATTGATAAATATACGCTGGGGCCTTGTTCCTCTAACTCACCAAGAAATGTAACATTTTCTTGGTGATACTTTTTATGTGCCCTTATTTTTTTTATCTTGTGCTTGCTCCATTGGTGGGTGTATTGCGTTTCTTCGTCCATCTGGGGTTTTGTATCGTCGCTTACCGGTGTGCTTGAAGGTGGTGTGTGGAGGGTGTTGGTTGTTAGATGTTCTGTAGTCCTCTCTGCCAGAATTCCTCTTGTCAGAGTTCTTCTTCAGTTCTGCAAAATATATTTAAAAAAATAATAGGTTTAAGAGTAAAAACCTACTGTAGAGTTTATCAACACAGGTTAAACATTCATACGACTTCCAAATATAATCTAAACTTATGTTTTCACGTCGGCGCCAGGCGTCAGTTTGATTCTTGAATCATAATTCACGTGCACACACTGAATGTTAAAAAAAATACACAGCGATCTATACGTACCTTTTTTAGCAAAGATAGAGTTGGTCCTGTATTTGAAAATAAAGCCAGTGTAATGTTGATTGTCGTCTCCTTATACGTTCAGTTCTGTACAGGCAGATCCCACTAAACTCTGTCTTATATGCTTCTGGCAGTGCTGTAAGGGCCATCTCACTTATATAGGAACTAAAATTAGCAACCATTGTTTGCTTCTGACGTATGCTGACGTATGCACACCCTTTTTCCTAAACCATTGTTTGCTTCTGACGTATGGGGTGAGTCATATGCATACGGCCCCAACTAACAAAAGCAATTCACGACTCATTGAATTTGAATAGGTGTTAACCTGAACTGAAGTGCAGAAGTGCAGCGTCACCCAGAGTTCATATATTTGTAAGTCAAGGTTGAAGTAGACTTGTATGAGTCGTATTTAAACAGATTTTTTTATTTTTTAACACAAGATCAACAATGATCTGGTTTGGGCCGATTCCGAGACTGAGATATTGGGAGGGGAGAGATATATTTGGGAGTTTGGGTGGGGGCAGAGATCATTGGAGAGGGGGAGGGGCAGAGATCGTTGGAGAAGGGGATGGGCGGGGCTAGGGGGCGGGGAATCATTGGAGAGGAGAAGGGGGATAATAGGGGGAGATAATGGGATTTGTCGCCGTACCCTCCCCCTCCTTCTACTCATAAGTATGTGAATGTTGAAAAAAAGGTAGTTTAATACAACCTCGTTGAAGTGACAAAAAAAAAACACATTGTGCTCGCTTGGTTTTCTTCACCGCAATCTCAAAGCCTGTGTTGAAGAGAAAAGGGTGGAAAAAATAAGGCACTGTTTTTATTCCCGTATGCAACAAATGTATATGATCTTGACTGTTAAAACCGCAACCAGTTTATTTCAGAGACTATGGGAAAAGTTTGTTTCCGATACGCACAACTCTAAAAACATTCTATATACAGTTGGAGCTAGAGTTGACTGTAGAAAACAGTCAAACCTCATTCAGCTAACCCTATACACTTTAAAAACTGTAGTGTTGATTCCGACACTTAAGTTGGTTTGGTCGTGAGAGACTACACTTTGAAAGTGAAAAATTCAGCATGTTTAATGTTGAATCCAGCATTTTAAATGTTAGGCATAAGTCCAACACAAGCTGACATTTTCATGTAACATTTTTCAAAGTGTTAACTTTGCAAGTGTTGAACCAACATCTAACATGTTGGTAGAGTTAAAGTGTTGGATTTGACATTGAAAATGTTGGATTTAAACACTTGAGGTCAAGAATAATTGAATAATTTAATAGGCCTAGTCAATTCAAACATGTAGAAACAATTGTAAACATGGAGAAAAATAGTGTGAAACTCACAAATTGAAGTTACGGTGTCCGCAAGTGGTCCTCGGGCTTCAACATCCAAGAACAGAATGCATGACAGGTGTTATAGGAAGAGAACAACTAGCTCCATTACATTGTACGCGCACCCACGTGACCCTAAGGCACCAATCATGCAGCATTATAACGGTGACTCTTTTCTCATAGTATCCCTTTCTTATTGATATTTCATTTATTCAGACAACCATAAAAGAAATCATAATACATCTGTTGTAGATTAAAACTGACTTGGTCGTAAGGTTCAATGGAAATTTCAAAGAACTGACCTCGGCTTTTATGCACATGCATAAATACCCTGGTAAATATTGTCTCACATTATCGTGTCTTCCGCTCTTTTTTAGCGTGTAAGACCAAATATACCTTCTTTTAGAACGTAAAGCAGGACTGTTCTTATCGGAACTAAAACCACTAAGCGAAAGTTGATAATAAGCAGGACAAGTAACTAAATATCTCTATGCAGTTATTATATTACCACACAGTGTCACCGCAAATCAAAACGATACAATTCCAGTCCCAAAATCAAATTTCAGAAATTCCCAAGCTCCAAAATACAGTTTTGACAAGAATAACCAAAAAATTACAAACTCACAAACTATATAAAGCGAAAAATATTTTAATTAAGAATTTCATTTTTTTTTAGACTTTTCTTCGTAGTGTGTTATACTTTCATCCTCAATAAATAAATATTTTTGAATAAAACCCTCGAACCAGAATTTGCAATTCAATTCGTGATAGTATTATACTAATAAATTGTATATTGTACGATTGACCTTGCAAACTGAATAGTAATAAACATAAATTTCCGACCCGAGGAATATATAATATGAATACTCAAACCACGAGATGTTACATATTTCCTATAATTAAAATATCCATATGAAAACCACAACTGATTTCATGTTAGTTTTAGGTTACTCTCGGGACAAAAGTTTACATGTACTTAACTTTGGTGTGCTCGTGCAAGATAAGAAAATGCCTAAAACTGAATTCAAACAGAATTCCCCCAGTAAATATTGTGCCGACAGCGACATGTACACAGGTTTTATTCGATGTCTATATATGGAAGGGGCTCTCAAAAGTAGTAAAAATGCGCCCTCTTTTGTTGGAGCACGATAACTCAAAATACGCACAACATACCGGTGTCATAATCCGACTCCTATGCAAATCGGACTCCTTTTCCCTATTATTGGTTAATTCCTCGCACGTGACAGGTCACTTTCCCGTATGTGATCCTAAAAATAGCGCATGCGCAACGCTACCAATGAGTCCATATTTCATTGAGTCGGATATGCACGCTGCACCGGTAATTCAGAAAGCATCTCCGTCTCGTGGAACGGAACATTTCAACCGTCACCTTTTAAAGTTATTCTAACCACTACCCTCATTAATATTTATCATGTTGTATGATATTCATGTTATTTAGCTCATCAGAAATTACACTAGTGAGCCAATCAGGAATCTGACTTGTGAATGACGCTTGGTCCAGACTCGTCGTACTCCTGCTTGCTGATCCACATCGGCTGGAATTCGGACAGTGAGGCAAAGATGGAGCCACCGATCCACGCGGCGTACTTCCTCTCTGGGGGTGCCATGATCTTGACCTTCACGTCGGGCGGGGCCAGGGCCGGCACCTCCTGCCGCATTCGTTCAGCGATGCCGGGGAACATGGTGGAGCTGCCAGCCAGAATGATGTTGCCGTACAAGTCTCGGTGGATGCCCGAGTCAGTCTTGACGATACTCCTGTACGTGGCCTCGTGGATTCCGTAGCCATCCAGGCCCAAGAGGTTCGGCTGGAAGAGGGCCTCTGGGCAGCGGAACCGCTCGTTGCCGATGGTGATGACCTGTCCGTCAGGGAGCTCGTAGCTCGTCTCCAGGGAGGAGCTGGAAGCAGCGGTCTGCATCTCCTGCTCGAAGTCAAGAGCAACGTAGCAGAGCTTCTCCTTCATATCACGGACAATCACACGCTCAGCTTTAAGTGAAAATGAAACAAGAAACAAATATAGACGAATGCACTTTTTTTGGATTTGCAGCGTAGAGGCACTTTAAATTCCCTTTTGTTGGAACATAAATTCACATGCACGGTGAATACATGAAAGTTGAACACGTCGAAGCAACTGATACTATATAAGTGGTTATTAAGTATATCAACCGTATTACAGCAACCCACCATCCCTGTAAGAAAAAGGTCCTCAACATAAATTATAGGCTACCATCTAACAGCAATCGGGCAATTTCTTTCCAACACTTGATCAATTGCTACCCAAATTAACCAATAATGAGGTACCTTTATGCCAGATGTTGGACAAATCAAGCATTGTTTTTCTTACGGTGATGGCTAGCGAACAGTCTATTTTTTAAATGGCATAACTCACCATTTGTGATGATCAATTACTAAAAAAAAAAAAAAGAACTGGTGGCACCGTACGTCACTCACCCTCGGTAGTGAAAGAGTAGCCTCGTTCTGACAGCATCCCGAGCAGATAGCCAGTCAAGTCATCCCCTCCCAAATCCAGGCGGGTGATGGAGTGCGGCAGGACGTTACCCTCGTAGATGGGCACAGCGTAGGTGACGCCCCCATCAGCGTTTAGCACGGTTCCCGTAGTACGACCAGAGGCGTAGAGAGCCAGTTTAGACTGTATTTCCACGTACAGTGCAGGTACGTTGAAAACTTCGAACATGATCTAGACAATGCAATTACAAGTTTATAATAAAAAATATGTTTCAAAATAAAATGTTCGTTGTTTGAATTCATTTTTGTTTATTCATAAATTAGGCCCAAGAAAGTGCCGTGGCGGATTAAAATAACATATAATCACCTCTGCCGTCTTTTCCCTTTTGGCTTTGGGGTTCAGGACTTTTCCAGTCAGCAGCACGGGGTGCTCCTCTGGGGCCGAACGCAGCTCGTTGTAGAAGGTGTGATGCCAGATCTTCTCCATATCGTCCCAGTTAGTGACGATACCGTGCTCGATGGGGTACTTCAGGTTCAGGATACCTCTTTTGCTCGAGGCTTCCTCGCCAACGTAGGCGTCCTTCTGCCCCATGCCGACCATGACACCCTAACAAAATAAATCACCAGTCATGAAAAAAAGACAAAATCATGACATTTGGAATACGTGACGTTGACTACAAAAAAACCCAATCATATTCAGATAGACCGGTCATTGGTCAACACTCAATAGTCAGTATATAGCGTATAGCGAGAACATTTTTATACGGGGCGTTATCCCAAACTTTCAATAATATACGGACGGACGGCCGTGTTAATGGTTTTGATTACGTCCGCATACAGTGCGCCAAGCGTATGTGGGACGTGTGCAGGTAGTACATTTAGCGTGGCTTAGCTAGTTGTGAATCCTACCGCACAAAGTGGTTCGCATTCAGCGGACGTGAAAGAAACAACATTGTTGTACTGGTGCTGTGTGTTTGACACACAGACACACCCCAACGTGTGCTGTCCATTGAATATACACGGCTTGAAATACGTATGCATATGCCACAATGTCCGCCGCGTCGAATGCAAACAACCAGTTGTTTTCGTCGTTTCTCTGGAACGGTTAGACATTTGGTTATTTCCTTTCAATATGATCTTTAAAATAGGACATTCAAACAATCCATTAGTCCAAAACATGACATTTTCAGGGATTTCAGACCTTAGTACCCCTTTAAGATCAAACGTTTTACCTTGTGACGCGGCCTTCCAACGATATTGGGGAAGGAGACTCTTGGAGCGTCCTCCCCCGCGAAGCCGGCCTTGGTCATGCTGGATCCACTGTCTATCACAATTCTCGCCGTATCGTCATCATAAGAACGCCCATGAAGTCTGGGAGTTATTTCACTGGACAAGTAAGACATATTATTCCAGTAAACAATCAATCTGGAAACATTTTCACAGTAGCTTCATAACCATAAATAGAAACGAACGAGATGACGTTTTGAGAACTCTATGCGACGCACTAGATATTTTGTGTCAAAACTGCGCATCTCGACGCTTTTGCATATAAACACTCCAACGTCCCATTATTTTATACGTACAATTTCTTCAAAATCCGAGTTTGAAAATAATTTTTCTACTCTCGCCCTATTACACCTCCGAATGGAATTGAATGAAACGGCTGTTTTCGCTTTGCACAGCCAAAAGATTATTATTAGCAAAAAAACAGGGTTTTTTTTCGGTGCAAGTGATTTCCAGTTCAATATTCAAAGTTCGTTTTTCCCACATCTGTAATTGACTATATTACTTACAGAATACGAATTTTGGAGGAATTTTTAACGCACGACGTTTTTGCGCTACCACAATATGGCGTTATGCACATGTGACGCGCTGACAAACGACGTAAACGCAAACGCACGAAGATACGACCTATTAACAGTGATTTAATAATTACGTCAACTTACGAAGCAATTGTTAGAGAACTATTTTTGTAACAATGTACAAATAATCTGAACTTCGAAGATATATGGTACTTACTACTTTTCTGAACGTCGTTCCTTTCTAGCCATTTCTTCAAAATGCCTGCGTTGAAGAAAAGGTGGTGACAAATAGTAATGCACCGATATTCTTCCCGACAGTTACCTACAATCTTGCCTGGATTAAAGATCGTACTGCGCTAAAAAAAACGCCCGGTGACATTCCGTCTGGTTTGCTTTCATTTAGAAGAAATTAAGAAATGTAATTTAGGGAAATAAAGAGCGCTGTGGATGAAATCGTGTTTGTATTATTCAAAAGGCTGTGCATGGTTTTGCACTGAGTGCTCGAGAGGTGTTATCTCCACAGAGCTGAAACCTGAACCGGTTAGGTTTGGAACATTTTTATTGGGATATTGAGTGTTGTTATTATTTTTGAAACGAGCAAAATGCGTAACAGGTGAATTATCGTGCCTTTAGGAATATAACAGAGTAAGCCAAGGTAGCTAAGAAACACCTGTTATAAACTGTTGTTCAAAATAAGAATTAATATTGTGGCGGAGTGGCCGCTGGCGGCGCTGTGCAGTGACCTAGTTTTGTGGCAGCCATTTTGGGGGTCGCGTGATGCACAGCGCGCGCGTGATCACTGCATGATCAGCTCCTGTACAGATGTGCCAAGCGGGCTTACTTCGCGCGGTTTACGGAGTTCACGTCTGGCGGTCTTACTGGAAGGATATGTTTGCGATAGACAGCGCTTTTAGAATAAGAATCTTTAGAATTGTCAGGCTAGTACAAAACCAAGTGATTTGTGTAAGTTCAAGAGTCAGAATAAACCAATCATCAAAATCATGAAGGACATTTCATCGTCTATTTATTGTGTGGAATAACTAAACAGAAGTTGACGTTCCCCAGAAACCCTTACAGCTCGAGATTTACGTTACAATATTAAATTATTTTTCTAAGTTTGCTTTTCAAATGGATATTCGAATGGATATTGAATGCAGTTGGAGTGCATAAGTGTAGGCCTATATTAATTCGTACTTTATCAAACAACGTACTAAGTGTATTTCAATTATTTTAACCATCTTTGACCCCCCCCCCCCCTTTACGGGTGGGGTGCTTCCTCGATCTACACTACGTTTTCATACTTTGACGATAATTGAATCCATTTTTTTGTTAAAGTAATTACGCATGGCTGCTTTAAGCTCTCAACCTGTAGAAACAAAATGGTGTACTAAACTCACAAATTAAAGTTACGGTGTCCGCATGTGATCCTATGGCTTCAGCATCCAGGAACAGAATGACAGATGTTATAGAAAGAGAAGCAGCTATATTGTACGCGCACTTAGCCCAATTATGTATCACGTGGCCCTAGGCACCAACAATGCAGCATATATCGGTGACAATTCTCAAATATGTTCGTCTTCTTTTTTAAATTAAAATTTCATTTATTCAGACAACCATATGAAATGATGACATCTGTTGGATATTGAAAACAGTCCTTGGGATTAAGGTAGAAATGGAAATTTCAAACAATTGACCTCAGCGTTTGTGCACCTGCATAATAACCCTGGTAAATACAGAAAATGCAAACAAAATATAACGGGTTGCCAGACATAGAATGTGTAACCAACATAGATAGGCCCTAATATATAGGTATGGTTTGAAAGATACTCCTTTCCACTTTAAAATGAGACATCAAACGTCAACATCTGATAATTTTTGATAGAGTTATAAGTATTTTCCCAAGAGAGGTCAAATTGACCATGGGACCAAGTTTTTAATTTTAGGCATTGGGATGAGGGTAGCCTAATTGCCTCTGTGTGGATATTTGACTGGCTTAAACCAAATGTGTTTAGCGAGTAAACACAATTCTAAACAATTTCTTGCTATCACCTCATGCTAAAAAACGTTAACCCCTTAAGCACGGGGTGTGATGGGGACATTCCTCCACACATAGAGCAAGTGGCCCGCATGACTGCACAGCCTTTGTGGGGTAGCAGGACTGCACAAAAGCAGCAGCTGTGGAACTACCCACTAGCTGTGTGCCACGGCATACCACAGGTGGCAACTGCATTCCAATGAGGATTAGCGGCCGCGGCCATGACCGCTTCCCGTGCGCATGGGGTTAAGTGATGAATGGGATGGCGTCGGACTGTTTATTAGTAATTAAATAGCTTTCTTTTCTCTTCGAAAGATCCAAAAGTTCCATTTTACCTCACTCTCAATTCAATATGGCCGACTCGTGCGTAAGGCCCATTGTGATAGAAGTTTAAAAGGGGTCAACCTTTATAAACTTTCAAACGAGGCTTTAAAGCTATAAAATGAGTCAGATATGAGTCATTTTGACCCGGAGAAGCGTAGGAAAATGTGGCGGAACCCGGATTCCGAGTATATTTGTTAACCAGGCAATATTTGAAGTGTGGGTCATGTACACTAACTTTCGTGAACCCAGATAAGACTGAGACTTTATGTATTTTACTCATCTGTTGTCAGTTTTAGAAACAAAATTCCAGCTCTAATATCAAATTTCAATAACTCCCGACCTCCACAATAACAGTCTTGATGACAAGAATAACCAAAAACTCCCAGTAGCTTCATAACCATAAATAGAAACGAACGAGATGACGTTTTGAGAACTCTATGCGACGCACTAGATATTTTGTGTCAAAACTGCGCATCTCGACGCTTTTGCATATAAACACTCCAACGTCCCATTATTTTATACGTACAATTTCTTCAAAATCCGAGTTTGAAAATAATTTTTCTACTCTCGCCCTATTACACCTCCGAATGGAATTGAATGAAACGGCTGTTTTCGCTTTGTACAGCCAAAAGATTGTTATTAGCACAAAAACAGTTTTTTTGGTGCAAGTGATTTCCAGTTCAATATTTCTCGTATTTCCCACATCTGTAATTGACTATATTACTTACAGAATACGAATTTTGGAGGAATTTTTAACGCACGATGTTTTTGCGCTACCAAAATATGGCGTTATGCATTGCACATGTGACGCGCTGACAAACGACGTAAACGCAAACGCACGAAGATACGACCTTTTAACAGTGATTTGATAGTTACGTCAACTAACGAAGCAATTGTTAGAGAACAATTTTTGTAAAAATGTACAAATAATCTGAACTTCGAAGATATATGGTACTTACAACTTTTTTGGAAGTTGTACCGCTTCAGACATGACTTGAATTTCTTCACCAATCTCAAAATGCCTGCGTTGAAGAAAAGGTGGTGACAAATATTAATGCACCGATATTCTTCCCGACAGTTGCCACAAAATGTACAATCTTGCCTGGATTAAAGATCGTACTGCGCTAAGAAACGCCCGGTGACATTCCGTCTGGTTTGCTTTCATTTAGAAGAAATTAAGAAATATAATTGAGGGAAACAAAGGGCGCTGTGGATGAAATCGTGTTTGTAATATTCAAAAGGCTGTGCATGGTTTTGCACTGAGTGCTCGAGAGGCGTTATCTCCACAGAGCTGAAACCTGAACCGGTTAGGTTTGGAACATTCTTATTGGGATATTGAGTGTTGTTATTATTTTTGAAACGAGCAAAATGCGTAACAGGTGAATTATCGTGCTTTTATGAATATAACAGAGTAAGCCAAGGTAGCTAAGAAACACCTGTTATAAACTGTTGTTCAAAATAAGGATTCATATTAAATTATTTTTCTTAGTTTGCTTTTCAAATGGATATTCAAATTGATATTCAATGCAGTTGGAGTGCATAAGTGTAGACCTATATTAATTCGTACTTTATCAAACAACGTACTAAGTATATTTCAATTATTTTAACCATCTTTGACCCCCCCCCCCTTACGGGTGGGATGCTTCCCCGATCTACCCTACGTTTTCATCCTTTGACGATGATTGAATCCGTTTTTTTGTTAATGTAATTACGCATGGCTACTTTAAGCTCTCAACATGTAGAAAAAAATGGTGTGATAAACTCACGAATTGAAGTTACGGTGTCCGCAAGTGATCCTATGGCTTCAGCATCCAGGAACAGAATGACAGATGTTATAGAAAGAGAAGCAGCTATATTGTACGCGCACTTAGCCCAATTATGTATCACTTGGCCCTAGGCACCAACAATGCAGCATATAACGGCGACAATTCTCAAATATGTTCGTCTTCTTTTTTAAATTAAAATTTCATTTATTCAGACAACCATATGAAATGATGACATCCGTTGGATATTGAAAACAGTCCTGGGGATTAAGGTAGAAATGGAAATTTCAAACAGTTGACCTCAGCGTTTGTGCACCTGCATAATAACCCTGGTAAATACAGAGAATGCAAACAAAATATAACGGGTTGCCAGACATAGAATGTGTAACCAACATAGATAGGCCCTAATATATAGGTATGGTTTGAAAGATACTCCTTTCCACTTTAAAATGAGACATCAAACGTCAACATCTGATAATTTTTGATAGAGTTATAAGTATTTTCCCAAGAGAGGTCAAATTGACCATGGGACCAAGTTTTTAATTTTAGGCATTGGGATGAGGGTAGCCTAATTGCCTCTGTGTGGATATTTGACTGGCTTAAACCAAATGTGTTTAGCGAGTAAACACAATTCTAAACAATTTCTTGCTATCACCTCATGCTAAAAAACGTTAACCCCTTAAGCACGGGGTGTGATGGGGACATTCCTCCACACATAGAGCAAGTGGCCCGCATGACTGCACAGCCTTTGTGGGGTAGCGGGACTGCACAAAAGCAGCAGCTGTGGAACTACCCACTAGCTGTGTGCCACGGCATACCACAGGTGGCAACTGCATTCCAATGAGGATTAGCGGCCGCGGCCATGACCGCTTCCCGTGCGCATGGGGTTAAGTGATGAATGGGATGGCGTCGGACTGTTTATTAGTAATTAAATAGCTTTCTTTTCTCTTCGAAAGATCCAAAAGTTCCATTTTACCTCACTCTCAATTCAATATGGCCGACTCGTGCATAAGGCCCATTGTGATAGAAGTTTAAAAGGGGTCAACCTTTATAAACTTTCAAACGAGGCTTTAAAGCTATAAAATGAGTCAGATATGAGTCATTTTGACCCGGAGAAGCGTAGGAAAATGTGGCGGAACCCGGATTCCGAGTATATTTATTAACCAGGCAATATTTGAAGTGTGGGTCATGTACACTAACTTTCGTGAACCCAGATAAGACTGAGACTTCATGTATTTTACTAATCTGTTGTCAGTTTTAGAAACAAAATTCCAGCTCTAATATCAAATTTCAATAACTCCCGACCTCCACAATAACAGTCTTGATGACAAGAATAACCAAAAACTCCCAGTAGCTTCATAACCATAAATAGAAACGAACGAGATGACGTTTTGAGAACTCTATGCGACGCACTAGATATTTTGTGTCAAAACTGCGCATCCCGACGCTTTTGCATATAAACACTCCAACGTCCCATTATTTTATACGTACAAATTCTTCAAAATCCGAGTTTAAAAATAATTTTTCTACTCTCGCCCTATTACACCTCCGAATGGAATTGAATGAAACGGCTGTTTTCGCTTTGCACAGCCAAAAGATTGTTATTAGCACAAAAACAGTTTTTTCGGTGCAAGTGATTTCCAGTTCAATATTTCTCGTATTTCCCACATCTGTAATTGACTATATTACTTACAGAATACGAATTTTGGAGGAATTTTTAACGCACGATGTTTTTGCGCTACCAAAATATGGCGTTATGCATTGCACATGTGACGCGCTGACAAACGACGTAAACGCAAACGCACGAAGATACGACCTATTAACAGTGATTTGATAGTTACGTCAACTAACGAAGCAATTGTTAGAGAACTATTTTTGTAAAAATGTACAAATAATCTGAACTTCGAAGATATATGGTACTTACAACTTTTTTGGAAGTTGTACCGCTTCAGACATGACTTGAATTTCTTCACCAATCTCAAAATGCCTGCGTTGAAGAAAAAATGGTGACAAATATTAATGCACCGATATTCTTCCCGACAGTTGCCACAAAATGTACAATCTTGCCTGGATTAAAGATCGTACTGCGCTAAGAAACGCCCGGTGACATTCCGTCTGATTTGCTTTCATTTAGAAGAAATTAAGAAATGTAATTGAGGGAAACAAAGAGCGCTGTGGATGAAATCGTGTTTGTAATATTCAAAAGGCTGTGCATGGTTTTGCACTGAGTGCTCGAGAGGCGTTATCTCCACAGAGCTGAAACCTGAACCGGTTAGGTTTGGAACATTCTTATTGGGATATTGAGTGTTGTTATTATTTTTGAAACGAGCAAAATGCGTAACAGGTGAATTATCGTGCTTTTAGGAATATAACAGAGTAAGCCAAGGTAGCTAAGAAACACCTGTTATAAACTGTTGTTCAAAATAAGGATTCATATTAAATTATTTTTCTTAGTTTGCTTTTCAAATGGATATTCAAATGGATATTGAATGCAGTCGAGTGCATAAGTGTAGACCTATATTAATTCGTACTTGATCAAACAACGTACTAAGTATATTTCAATTATTTTACCCATCTTTGACCCCCCCCCCCTTACGGGTGGGATGCTTCCCCGATCTCCACTACGTTTTCATCCTTTGACGATGATTGAATCCATTTTTTTGTTAATGTAATTACGCATGGCTACTTTAAGCTCTCAACATGTAGAAAAAATGGTGTGATAAACTCACGAATTGAAGTTACGGTGTCCGCAAGTGATCCTATGGCTTCAGCATCCAGGAACAGAATGACAGGTATTATAGAAAGAGAAGCAGCTATATTGTACGCGCACTTAGCCCAATTATGTATCACGTGGCCCTAGGCACCAACAATGCAGCATATAACGGCGACAATTCTCAAATATGTTCGTCTTCTTTTTTAAATTAAAATTTCATTTATTCAGACAACCATATGAAATGATGACATCTGTTGGATATTGAAAACAGTCCTTGGGATTAAGGTAGAAATGGAAATTTCAAACAATTGACCTCAGCGTTTGTGCACCTGCATAATAACCCTGGTAAATACAGAAAATGCAAACAAAATATAACGGGTTGCCTGACATAGAATGTGTAACCAACATAGATAGGTCCTAATATATAGGTATGGTTTGAAAGATACTCTTTTCCACTTTAAAATGAGACATCAAACGTCAACATCTGATATTTTTTTTATAGAGTTATGAATAATTTCACAAGAGAGGTCAAATTGACCATGGGACCAAGTTTTTAATTTTAGGCATTGGGATGAGGGTAGCCTAATTGCCTCTGTGTGGATATTTGACTGGCTTAAACCAAATATGTTTTTTATTATTATTATTATTATTAATGGTTTATTGTTCTATTCTATCGCCGCCAGCAGCGGAATTGCAGAATAGTTACATAAAAAATAAAATTACACAGAGATTTAAAGAATAACCATCATGAAAGGGCATAGGAAGGGAGGGAGTGATAGGGACGGGTTGAGGGGAATGGAGCTGGGAAAACATGTATGGTATTAAAGTACACAGATGGAAAACAAACAGTAAAAATCGAGAGAAACAGTTTAGTGAAATACAAATGCAATAAAAACCAGGCTTCCTTTTTAAAATTGTGTACAAACAGGCTGTAAAACCGCACAGGATGAAAAAGGTTGGGAAAAGAGGATGAAAAGGTTGGGTGTACACAGGGGCAGAGGTTGATACAAGTAGGATAGGGAAGTTGTCTTGGGGATGGAAGGCATGGGAAGGGAGGTTGTTATGTGAACAACAGGATTGTGGAAGGGAGGGGTCAAAGGTAAAGAAAAACAACGGGAACACTCAAATGTTACAAAGGAAAAAAAAAATTCGACATAAACACAAATGCATAAAAATTCAGGATTGCAGCTAGAGGTCAGACCCACTAGATAGTTATTATTAGTGGTTTTCATTCCAAATCTTTGTCATGTAAACAATTGGGCTTTTTTGGTACCGCTTAGTCTTACAAAGAGGTAGGGAGTATTTGTTCATTTTCTGAGGTCTCTATGATGAACATTCCTCCTGCTTGGCGGAAGCCAGCTGCTGTAGTGTTTGGATGCAATCAGCGATTGGAAGAATTTCATGCACATCTGCTCCCTCCTTTCAGCCAAAGTGTTGAGGTTGCAGGCAACAAGTGCATTTTCATAGCTAGTGTACTGTTTGCCATCATGATCTTACAGGCTCTACGTTGAATTTTCTCAAGCATTTCGCTTTCGACCACAGTGAGCCCGGAATGCCAAGTAGGAGCAGAATATTCGCATATGGGTCTAACATAACATGAATAGATTGTAACCATGTCCTGTAATGGCATATTAAAATGCATCAATGTCTTTATCATGTGGATCCTGCCATTAGCTTTCTTTAGGATGGATTTGACATGAGTGTCCCATTTTAAGTCCTTAGATATTTGCAGTCCCAGAATCTTTACTGCATCGACTGACTGGAGTGGGGTATCGTTGATTGTGAGTGGTAGTTGGGTCGGGAAGTTCCCTAGCGAAAGTAACCTGCATGGTAGCACATTTATCAGCATTGAGTCTCATGTGATTGTTCTGGACCCACTCGGCAAGGTTGTCAAGATGACTTTGCATATCCGATGGGGTCTTCCGGTCACAATGCCCAACCATTGTTAGGTCATCAACATATTTCAGGACGGTAGGTGTGATGTCCCCTACTGCATCATTGACAAGTGCCAGAAATGCAAGTGGGCCGATGCGTGTTCCCTGAGGTACTCCTCCCCTGAGCGGTTTCCAGTCACTTGTTACACCACGGTAGCGGACACACTGTTCTCTACCGCTCAGGAAGTTGGCTATCCATGTTACGACAGAGGGGCGAACTCCGAGATTGACGAGTTTATTGGCGAGTATGTTGTGATCTACTGAATCGAAGGCCTTGCTGAAGTCTGTTACTACTACTGTGCTCATAGTACCCGGTTTATCTGCATTTCTGTGAAGGGTGTCCAACAGTTTCACTAGATAGTGAGTCGTGGATACTCCTTTACGATTGCCGTACTGGTTTGGATCAATCTTGCTGTGGATGTCATCCAATAGCCAATCCGCGATGAATCCT